TTCTTATGGCTACTGAACCTGCAGCTTTTGTCGCTCATTCTGAAAAATACGTTCCGATGGTTCCACGGCCTTGTGGAGCTGAGATATTGCGAAAGCTTAAAAAAACTGAGTTTTCGAAAAAACGACAATTTTCAATTTTTCGATTTTTTCCGCTTAATACGCGCATTGAAAATTTGTAAAGTAAAATATTCGTGATCACCGAAAAATTCTACATCGAATGATGTATGTTTGAACCACAGACTGAAATGTCACTGCAACTCTGAATTTGGGGCGCCTTACTTGTATTTTGGTAATTCATGTTTCAAAAATTTATCATAAATATCAACTTCTTCTAAGGCACATAAATCCGGCTGATAAATTAAAATTTGTTCTAATATTCTCCATTTTCTTATTTCATAGTTAACTACGTCCGGATTTGTAATACGAATAAAATTCCCTTCTGCACCGTGCAAACCTCAAAAAAATAAAGATTATAACAATAGACTATAAGTTTGCTCACCTGTCTCTTCATTTGTTTGAAGATTCGTCTTGAAATATTCCTTCGCATTTCAATAACACAAACCTTGAGCTAAAATATTCCATTGTAGTACAGTAATTATTGAATCATGATTATTCACTGCTGCTGCCGGATAAAACTGTCGACTTAAACTGGGTGTTGAAAGATTTTGACGAATACTAAAGAAGAAGAAACGTAACTTATATCAGTATATCTTGCTTGTATAACATTTCTATCTTTTACAACTTAAAAAGGTTAATTTATTAAGTATTTACTTCTCCAGATTATCATGCCCGTCTTTTGTCGCCATTTTCTTGACAAAATGTAATAATTTTTTAGTACAATGTGTTGTAGCAGAGGTAAATAAACGTCCTTTAATAATCATCAATATCGACCATTTTTGATGTTATTATGAAATCCTTATTTTAATCTGAAAGAACGAAATCAGTTAGATCAATAAAAACGTACTTTTTTCAAGTTACTCTTTAAAGAAAGAAAGTTAATGTTTATCATAGCCTCATAGAACTTTTTGTCCAACAATAGAAGAGATCTGTTCAATATTCCTTGTAGAATAAACTACACAGTTCTACAGTAGAAATAATATCACCATTATAATTAGCAATGAATTATCAATAGAATTATTTGTTAACTCCTCACAAAAAAATTCAGTGAAGCATCGCAAAAAAGATGATTGGTATCGGCGATACGCACCAGTGCGCAAACTGAGACAAAGAATTAAGGGGTTCTTTCTTGAGATATACATTTATGTTTGATGAAATCCTTTAGGCGACAAAGCTTATCTAAAAATGAAGAAAGAGACTTGAAATAATTTAGTCTGATTGTTTTAGTTTCTAAAATATAGAAGAATGTCAACAGACCACATCTTACTGAACTTTTCTTCGGGATGTGGTCCGTCTAAAGTTCCTTCCCTTCAAAGTTATGTAAACACGTATATCTGAAAATAAATAAGAAAAAACAACGAAACGATCAGAAAGAAGATAAAGAAACCATAAACAAGCGAAGAGCCTTCTATAAAGAAAGACTCCACCATCTTACTTCCTAGTGCTGTAAGCAATGGACAACCTTTCTGATCCGAATAAAACTATTCTTTTCTTATTTATAGATTGGTAGACTAACCTGTGTTATTCAAAATACATATTTCTCATTTGGTTCGACAAGAAACTAGATAACTACAGAGTGTGAGTAAAAGAGATAACTTTTCTCTCGCGTGAGCTGTAGCACTAGCATAACCGATACACTTACGTGAAGAAAGCATTAACGCTTGGACTTTCACAGTCTTGTTCGTAGATGTGGCGCTTGGAACATTTCGTTGCTAGTGATTATATGGCCAAGGGCTGAATAACGTCATCCATTAAGTGGTTTTTTGGGACAAGTTTTCGCGAGCTCAAAGATATCGCAATCAATAATTATCCATTCAAAATGCTCTTAGACTGCATTAGTGATTTGAATAGATGCACAGACTCTACATCTATTTGAATCGCTAGTGTAATCTAAATGTAACCTAAGTGCATTTTGTTTTGAATGGATAATTACTGATTGCGACTTTTTTGCAATATCTCTGGGCTCGCGAAATCTTGCCCCAGAAAAACGCCTAAAGGTGCACGAAAGGAAACGCTTTTTGCCGTTGGCCATACCATCGTAGAGCCTATCTAACATCTTGTGTATAAGGCGGGATAATCCCAAACTCTTATGCGTCAAATAGAACTGAGCTGAACTTTGCTACACTCTGTAAATCTCCAGCGGTCAAGGATGTATTACACCGACGAAACTCACATTAGTTAAAACGACAAAAAATCTTCATGTACATTACTGTCAGATGAATTATTAAGGCTACACACTCAGAATAATAAAGGCTATGTTTCTGCGACTTAAAGGTTACCCGTATTCTCGATCGGAAAAGAATGATCTTCTATTGATAATTATCCTAGCATAGCTACTTTCTTTACTAATTAAAGCGTTCACATACTACAATAGAAAACTTCACTTCCTTGCTATCTTTCTCAACACCGTTTCTTCTCGCTTTTAATCATAAATCAAAGAAGACAAAACAACTTTGTTGTCTACTATTCGATTACCTCCCCACCATTTACAAGCGATAAGAGAGATGGCGCTATAAAGCACTGTTTCCCATAGTAATCACATGTTACATAGCAAAGTTTGTATTTTCCTAAAGCCTTATTAGAACAAGAAGACGTTCAATCTAAATGTAGTACTACTAATTAACTTGATTTAAGATACTACAAGCCCAAAAATGTACCAGTAACAAAACAAACGATGGCACTCATGTGCGTTGCCCAACAATATAGGTCCGTCCAATTTATACAGACATAATAGCCGAAAAAGTTTGAAGACTCCTATCATGTAGGGTATAAAAAGTTACATAGAATCTCATATTTGTTCGCTAAAAAAGTTGTATTCTACATGCCTGTTTATGGATGTCAACTTTTGACGTCTCTTACAATGAAGCAACTTTGACCTTGTTTTTCTCTACATTAGTAGAGTTAACATCGACGTTTGATTTACCATACAAAGAAGCAGGTCGAGTAGTATAAGTACTGACACTCAAAGCCTGTCCTGCTACTTTTACCAGCGCAGGCCAACTGTCACAAATTAGCCGAAAATGAAAAAAGGACACTTAGTATTTGACCTCTCTTGCATAGAATAGTATGCATAGAAAGAAAAAACCATCAAGTCAAGTATAGTACAGAAAACGATATATACATACATGTTCTTTCTGTTATACGATAGTTCTATATTCTTTTTTTCAGGTATATTGTATAATACTGTTCTCAATTTTCTATACCGATACGAATTTATAAAAATAAGAATTTATAAAAGTCTTTAATGGATTCGTTTCTCGAACAGCAACAAGAAACATTCACTTATATTTGCGGCGATGATTCCAGCGACTATAATTTTGTAGTGGTATGGTTAGACAATACAGAAAGCGAAGAATATTTCAACAAGAGAGCAGAGTTACGTGACATTATTCGCCATATATTTCTGTTTTGTTCAATTCAAAAGTGTAATGAGTACATTTCCTCCTGTGCTATTGACCATATATTTCTTGTCATTGCTGGCACATACGCTAACGAATATGATAAAATTGCCGAAGAATTTCAACAGCTATCCAGTGATGTGCATCATTATGTATTTACGAAGAGGAAAGTCGAATGTTTTAATTGTGTTAGAGATAGTGCGTTACTCGTTGAGAAACTACGTGTTGATTACGTGCTTTCTGTTAGAAAGGATTCTACAGCAAAAAAGGACGTAATTGGTGAGTCAATTCGAATTTTAAATACAAAAGAAATAAAATTAAAGTGTTTACAATCATTAATTGATATATTTCGTAAAATGGATGCTCCGCCTGAAGAATGCCGAAAAAAATAACTGAACATTGTAAACAGTATTGTGCTAATAGACCTATCGATTTAAAGTTATTTAAAGATTTTGATACAACCTGCTGTAAAGAACGTGCTATTGATTGGTATACGCGAAATTGTTTTTTAAATCCTTTAATAAACGTTACACTTCGTTCAAACAGTATTGATATGATTATAGATTTTTGTCCCATTATTGCCGATATTCATGATCAGTTGAATGAAATGCAATCGAAATTCTTCTGCGATTTTTACCATCCACTACATATTTTTCAATACATGACAAAAACTGAATTTGACAGTTTAGCATCTCACATAGGCGGTTATATTTCAAACAATACTTTTTTTTTAACACAACGGTCAAGTAGTATGGCTGTATTATTTGTTGACGAAGGCAGCAGTGAAAATGGTTTATTGAAATCAGTTCTGTTTGAAATTGAGATTGGTAATAAGTCTTCAAAACCGTGGGCGGATATAAGTGATAAAAGTTTTTATCGAGATAATGAAATATTATTGACAGTCGGTAATATATTCAGAATTGAATCAATCGAAGACTTTAACAACGTTACGTTAATTTATCTCACGCTATACTGTGATGGTAAATCTGATATAATAAAAAGGATGAATGATCATTTTGATATTGCTATGTTACAATTAATCGAAATATTTCCGAAAATATCACGAAAAACTGATAGAATTAATGAAAGAATGTTTGAAAAATGTAAATTCTATTATGCACATGATCCTATTAAACTAGCTAAAATTAAAGAATTTGAAAAAACATATAAATTTGACGCCGTTATACGATGGTATACAAAAGATACATTTTTATATCGTTTGGTGAATTTAGCACTTCGAAATGAAAATATTGATATGATTTTAGATTTACGTTATTTTATTATTGATTTGTGTGATGAATTAACAAAGATGAATATTGATTACATTCGTAATATTAAAAAGCTCAGATTAACTGTGTATAAAGGATAACATATACTTCGAAAAGAATTACGGAAACTTGAGCGAAATATTGGCGAATACTGTTCGATTAATTCATGTTTTTCTGCTTCATTATTAAGTACTGTTGTCTCGATTTATGCTGAAAGAAATACACTAGATCACTCAGTAGAATCGGTAATCTTTGAGATCGAAGTCAAAATAATACAGCAACAGCCGTCCTTTGCAAATATATCTCATTTAAGCCAGATATCAGATGAACAAGAAATGTTCATTTTCAGTGATGATTAACTGTTAAATGATCAATTTGTCCTCTGTTAGTTGGATTTTGAATGATTGAAGTTAGATTACGTAAAAGCAGATGAGGTAGTGTATTACTACCAAGTGATATTTGATATTGTTTTGCTGTTTTATCGGCTAACTGTAATGCTTCTGCATAACTTAATTTATAAGTTGAATCTTTACGTTGTTTTTCTATTGAATACACAGTGATCGTTCGACTGAGTGCTCTGAAAGAATAAATAGAATTGTACTTACTCTATAAAATCGAGATTTATATTAATCAATGGTGTAAATCCCAATAGTAGAACACCACTATATATAATGAGAACTGAAAACATGATTTTATTTCTTTCTTAGACTTTTTTAGAGTTCACTATACACTCTTCCTACCCATTACCATATATCCTATTTCACACCAAAGGCTCAAAATATGTCTGAAAAAGTGCAGCAATGTCGAAGAAAGCTTATGATTTGATCACAATGAATCTTGTTAAACACCATCTACTGTGTTTAGGAATAATGTTTATGTACAGAAGTAACAGCAGCGACCTATGGTTATCGAAACTGACATCGATTTAAATATGTGACGAATCAGTTTTTTACATTTTTACACTTTTAGCTTATTTCCTTCGACAAATTCAATGACTCATGTGAGAACGATGAGTTTTATCTGAAATTGTTCGTTTTCAGGAGCTATCTGGAAATGGTGTCACCTCTTTATGGACGCCTTCCACCACCTTGTCTTCGTTGTTGACTTTGAGTCGGACCTGTCGAAAGTTGTGGTCGGTAAAGTGGCAGGTCCATTTTTTCAATTGTCAATAAAATTATGATCTCTGAATTAATAATTTAGTACTATTCAACTGTTCAACAAAATTTCATCACTATAACAGAAATAGTAAATCAGCGGAAGCAAACGATTTCAAACGCATTTAAGACGGTCAAAACTTTTCGGAAGACAATTGTCAACAAGAAGATTAAATTGAATTTTATTTTCTTTATTTTTCATGAAATATCATCAACAAGAAGAGTCCAACAACTATCGATAAAAGTCCTGTTGCTAGTGCTGTACTATAGGAGTTATTTTTAACTTTTCTTATCTAAAAATAATATGGTGCTTTAAAAGTTTGTTAACAGTATAAGAAAACTTGCACAATGCGATAATTGGCAGATCTGAAGAAACATGCATTAAGGGCACCGGGCGCATTAGATGATGAACGAATCAATCTACCTGTTTGCTCTTGAACCATGTTTTAGAAACAACTAATTACTTAAGTATTAAGAATTAAATACAAATATTAAGCTATATAGCTGCGATATATATAGTAGGAGCTTTGCATGCGCAGAAGTTTTGGCACTAAAAACAAATTTGCTTCAACAGACAAACAATTTTTGTTTTCTTCCATTTTACAACCCTATTATGTGACGCAAAGAAAATAAAAATTTCATAAAATAAGAACGGAAAAAAATTAGGAGAAGTACGATCAACTGGAGTTATAACTATCAACTTAGGTTGATAGTTATAACTCCGGTTGATAGTGTTATAACTATCAGCTTGGGTTGATTGTTATAACGCCGGTAGATACTTAAAACTATCTGAAATTTTTGACCAAAATTTAAATTAGTTATAACTGGTTCTAACTCCAACAAGTTATAACTTAGGCTGTTTTAAACCCATCAGTGCATTCCATCATTTCTCTTTCATCGACATACAATATTATACCTTTTAAGTCAAATCTGTATATGTTTTGGGGAGATACGTAGTCATTCATAATAAAATTTTTATTTTCTTCTCCTTTAAAGTTTCTTATCTCTATAACTTAAAAGAACAAAAGTAAGCATAAGATTGTCCATTTGACTGACCTATAATATTAGTATTTCAGAAGTAACAAACTAAGAAATCATCACGAATTCTTTAATTCAATACAAACACAAACAGAGGGCACACATTATAAGCAGAAATCTTAGAGACTTAGACTAAGACCTTTATTTGACAACAAAAAAGTAAAACGAACCAATACAATAAACTAAAATCAAAAGAGGTTGTTGCAGGGAAAAAAACCGAAAAAGCGCATACTGCCCTTATTAGACTGTGACCCTTCTAATTTTGACAAAGAAAATAAACAAAAAGAACGAGAGAAAGATAAAGAATTAAAGTTCTAAGAAGTTCTTTAGTCTGTGCTTGAACAAACTTATGCTGTTAGCTGTAACAACGTGCTCTGGTAAGCCATTCCACTCAATTGCCGTTCTGAGAAAAAAGGAATACAGGGTGGTATAGGTTTTGAAAATACCAGCCACCCTAACTGCCCTAGAATGGTTTACCCTGCCAGAATGCCTATTGGTATTATACTGAATAAGATTGAGATCCGAAAAAATGGAATGATTGTGGAGAATCTTATAAAAATGAAGCAGTTTGAAGTAATTACGTCTTTTATATAAATCTGGTAAATTTAATTTCTCTATTAATTTAGAAACAGAGCCATCAAACTTTTTAAATATAATTCGCGCAGCCAACCCTGAGCATTCACTTTTTTTTCAGTTTTGAATTTTTTCGCCTTTAAAAATGCATCAAAGTATCCTCTATCGAGTACCATATAGAGGGAAACGTTTCACAGCTATTTACATTGTGGATAAACTCGATTTTTGAGATTTCCTTTGTCAAGAAATACATGTTTGTGTCGTAGTAAATCATCTATACTAAAATAATTATTTAATAGCTAAAATGTGTCTCGAGAGTCAATGATGCGTCCTTCTAATCGTTTTACACCTGCGATCGTCGATAAGTGTAGATGAAAAACAATCGAAAAAAAAATAGAAAATCCCAAATATCAGAAAAAAAGGTATATAACATTATTTTCCATTTTCTCGAATTCCATTTTTGAATTATTTCTTCCAAACTCTGCAATTTTTATAACTGGAAGTATTTTTTATGACAGCTTCGATCGAATTGAAGTTACCCTTCTTAAAACTTCTTGTCGTGTTGAACTCTGACATGTTTTACAAAATATGCGTCAAAACAAAAGGATACTGTTGTTTTAATAGGGCTCCCGTTATTTGGCTATCCTAAGCAATAGCGCGATATTTTTCAAAAAGAAAAAAATCTATACACTCCGATATACTATAAATTGTCATGGAAACTGTTACCGATGGAAAATAAAGGTTAGAGTTTTGTGGGAGCACATTTTTGTTCAACTCATCGATAAAGTTTTCAGAATTTCCTGTCATAAGTAGTGGGAAGATGGTGTCATGCGTCGTTCACGCCCCCTTCCTAAAGTTCTACAAAGCAAGAAAATGGCTGATCTGAGAAAAATAATTGCTTTTCTTTCGTTTGACGATGCTAGTTAGGCAGAAGGCTGTAGAAAATAGTACACAATCAGGATGGAGAGTGTTCCTTTTCTCTGAATTTTTGAGGTCTAAGTCGTTCTTAAGTATCGATGAATACACACAATCCAAAATACAATTTGGAAAATGATTTTGTCAGATGATTCGATGTTAAGTAGCCGCTTAATAAGACATTGACAGGAATGGTCTGTAGCTAGGAGTTATGGTGCCCTTTCTTCCGAAGCTTTCAAAGTCCAGTCTCAGAAATATACAATTTTGGTATAACTATCCTAGACTCAATTCAACTCATGCAAAAAAGGAACATCTTATGTATTTCGAGAAAGAGGTATCACAAGAATTGACTTTCTGAGCAGATCAAAACTATCACAAGCGGCTTAGTTCTGCTTTATTTTGATGTGGAAAATTGAAATTCATTGTTCATCACTGAAGTAAAGAACATGTGGGAGATATCTCTCTGAAATATCGTATCCTTAGAAACAACCTCGATTTCGAAAACTTACGAGGCAACCGCCCCAAGTGTTTCGCAAGTAACGATCGCGTATTATCAGTGGAGGTAGATCTTAATGAGACTGCAAAAGGTTAAAAAGTGTTCGCAGCGATAGGCTTTCCTTCCGACGTTTTGACAGTTTTACTGGGATTTCGACCTATAGCAAAGTATTCAGCAAAAAGTCGAATTACTGAATTTCGAACTAAAATTTTCTCATAGATATGTCTTATGCTCCTTACAATACTCTGAACATCCCATCCAAAACAAAGTTTTCCTTCTTAAGATATTGAACGTTGAAAAGAAATTGATTTTCTGATCTTTTTCCCAAACACGGTCGTTATTTTTCGAACATTCAGTATTTCGAGAAAGAAACGTTCGTTTTGGCTAAAAATTTTACGATATTCTAAGGACTGTGAAAACTATTTAGCGAAAATATCTCAGTTCAAATTTTTTTCAAAAATAGCTTCGGCTTCACGGGAACTATATCAAGTCCCGCAGATTTTTTGTTTTCCTCTCCCTACCAGGCGGTACCATTTTCGAATAAACTCATAAATTATCAAAATATGCGTAGTACTACATATAGACATGATTTCTAGACACGGTAGATGGTGTTTAACGAGTTGTTTTATTACGCTCAAGTTATGTTTTGAATAGTCATTATTTGACCCTGTTGGAGATATTTCAGAAAAAGATACTGTTCATAATATTGATTAAACATTTCTAACTTGTTCTATGTGAAAGAAGGTCAATTCTGATTCTAAATTTTCATGTCCCTTCCCTCCCAATACTCAGCAACATTTCTGGTTCCAATGACCAATACGGGATTTGTGATAGAATATTTCTTCGAGCGTCCGATGATGGTCGACCAACAAAAAACTTGCCAGACATTCGTCTTAGAAATGCTTCATCCATCATATGTAAACGA